CAGTCCTACTGTGTGTGTTCAGGGCAGTTTTGCCCAGAGACAGTCTTTTGATTGGCTTTTCAATCAGGACCAATTGTTCTGGGCTCAAAAGGGCTCAGCACAGTAACAACCACTTGACTGGTTTCTGCACAGGTGAATATGGGCTTGGGTGCAGACAATACAACAGAAGCATCCAATCTGTAAAAAGAAAGAATCCATCCGTCTCTCCCTTTCCCTTCTGTACAGAGAAGTAAAAGAAAATACTTAGTAGCTGGCTACTGTCCTTTACATTTTTTCTATGAGCTATTGCTGCAAATTCCCTGTTGAATGGAAACGGAGGAGAAAAACACCTACCGAGACAATGAAAGAGTGGATTCTCAAGCAGTGAATGAAAGATTGAGAATCGGTGCGTCCCCAACTTGTGTCATTGACAAAGAATCAGAAGGAATCAAAATGGGAGAGAGAAAACAACTCGATGTTATTTGTGATCTTGACTGACTAGAACTGTACTAACTTTTATCCCCCTTCTCCAGCCTTAATACTTACGTCTTGGGTCATCGCTTTTATGTTTCTGTTTGCACATGAATGGGAATTTTTAAAAGGGGCAGAGTTTAAATAATAGTTATAAATTAGCAATACATGTTTCTTTTTGCACTTGATTAAATACAATTTGATTACAATGAATAGCTATTTTCATATTAATGAGAAAAAGACCTCATTCGCATATTCTTTCAACTAGAATCAGATTGTTAGATAGAATTGGGCAATTTGGTGGTATACTCAAATGTTCACATTGGTTATGACTCCAGGAACAGTGAGGCTTGATTTTCAAACTCTAGCCAATGAGTTGTGACAAGGGGAAAAAAAAGCAGAGAGGTTTCGGGAGGGAATTCCAGACCCCAAGGCTATGGAGCTGAAGGTACATATCTAAAGTGAACTAATTAAAATTGCTCAAAAGACCAGGAAGAGATGTCCCAAAGAGTTCATAGAGTGCCATGTGGCTGGAGGAGATTACAGAAATTCAGACAGATGAGACCACGATGGGATTTAAAAACAAAGATAAGAATTTTACAACTGGATATTGCTTCATGTTTGTCCTTTGAAATGAAGACAACTGCATTCACTATTTAGGATGTTTGATAGGGTTCCAGTGGGGAGGTAAGTGAATGCTAGAATGACCTGAGGTGGACAAAGTGGACAAGATACAAGTTGATTGAGTTCAGTGTAAGTTGGCTCAGGGATTTCCTCTCCTTGTGTTTTCTTTTTGCCACTGACATGCACTGGCTTTTGAAAGGGGCCGCAACATTTTCTAAAAGAGTAGCACTCGTGGGCAAGCTTCTCCCAGCTCTTGAACTTGATACCAAACCAGCAAAATGAATCCTTCAGAATGTCCTTGTCGTGTACCTTTTGACCATCATGAGCACAATCCCCAGGTACAAGCTCTCCAGAGTAGTTTCACTTTGGTGATTAATTCCTGCTACATGATCATTTTTTTACAGGAGCCGGTGGAGGGGCGGGGGTCAGTAGTGAGAATCATGGACTCACAACAGAGGTGATGGATGAATGAGATTTTCAGGGAGCCAGAAAAGAGGGAGCAGAGTTTTGGATGACAACAAGTTTAAAGACTCAACCTCTATGTATCTAAAATAATTCTAGCCCTATAGAGTGTATAAAATAGTTCAGTCACTACATGGTTTATAAAACCATCCAGTCACTATACTGTGTATAAAATATCTAGCCACTATAATGTACATAAATATCCGACCATTACATGGTGTATAAAATAACCCAGTCACTATAACGTGTGCAAAATAGACCAGTCACAATAATGTGAAGAAAATTATCCAGTGCCTATTGAGGGTATAAAATAATTCAATGACTATATAATGTAGAAAATAACACGGTGTTCAAAGTGACCTCACTATGCTCTCTATATTATATAGCTAAGGCACCAAACAGTGTGTAAAATAACCAACAGTAGGGACCAACAGGTTGTTTTAAATGCCCTCCATCAGTAGCCAGCATGAATAGACAAACACCATCAACCCCCTACCTCAAGGCTCTTGACGCCTCCCGAACAGGCCTTTAATTCCATCCCTGCTAGGCCTACAAAACTCTGATTGTTTCCTTAACCCAGAGCTTCTGAACTGTCACCTGACCTGAGCCTCCAATTGCTTCCATTAGCCCTCAGGCCTCCACCGTGGGAACAAGAGCCAACTGATATCTTCCCCTTTAACCGCATCCCTAACCTGCAACGCTGACCGGTAAAAATGTCCCTCTCCATGACGGTTACCTGTTTTGTTTGCATGCTGAGTTTGCGATTCAGGAACAGTGCAATATAATTTTTCAGCGCAAACTAATATAATACTTTCAGCGATCATGAGGTTTGTTTTGTGACTCAGTTAGACAACATTACTATCAATCTTCTCCCATTCCAATTTCAGTTTGAAGGAAATGAAAAACAAATGTGAATATTAAACTTTGGAAATAAAATGTAAACGCATAAAAAACGTGGAAGTAAATTTAATCCAGAAATTTCCCTTCACAAACCCTATTTAAATAGAGCGCTCAGCTTCTGAACATTTGAAAACACCAGACATTTATCAAATCACAACACCCAGTGATCATTCTTCTTCTGAGTACGTTGGAAGTTGCTACTTTCATTAAACCATCTGTATGCAAGCCAAAAGTGATGGGCCAGTGTGGAACACCACACAATTAAACAATTGGTATTTGGCTCAATGAATATGCACTCTGATCACTGTGACCTTGGTTGTGTGGTCAGGTCAGTGCATTCCTAAACTATGGTATCATGCTAAGCATTCTCTATGCAACTGCACAACAACAACAACTTGCATTTATATAGCACTTTGTTTAGATGGAAAACATACCATAGTGCTGCACAGGAGCACTAGCCGACAAAATCCATCACAAAGTCACATACTGAGCATGGAGTGACTAGAAACTTGATTAAAGATGCATGTTTCAAGCCATCTAAGAAGATAGGAACAGGACAAGGCTATTCAGATTGCTCTGCCAGTTAATATGATCAAGGCTGGTCAAACACTTTTACCCACGCTATCACCATAACCCTTTATAGCATGGATAGGCAACCATTTATCTACCACTACTTTAAATAGACTTAGAGACTGAACTTCCACAGGCCTCTGCAGTAGAGATTTCCAAAGATTCACAACTTTCAGAGTAAAGAAAATTCTCCTCATCTCAGTTCTAAGTGTATTTAAATGGTGGGCCCTTGGTTCTTGACTCCTCAACCAGGGTAAAGATCTGCATTGATCCCTTTAAGTACTGTGTGTAGTTTTCACTGACATTTTCTCTCCTTCAGCAAAACTGCCACAAACACAGGCCCAATTTCACAACACAGTCCCGCCATCCCGCCATCCCAAGAACAGGTCCGATACCTTACCTATTATGCTTTGGGTAATTTGTCACTAAGTATCCACTGTTGTAGCTTGAGTCAGTATTCATTCATCTGGAGCTGCTATAATTCGGGCACTGTACTTATTTTTTTCTAATCCATCTGCCCGGAAAAGTTATTATACCTCTGGAGCAGGTGGGACTTGAACCTGGGCCTCCTAGTCCAGGGATAGGGACACCACCAGTCACAAGAGACTCCCCACAATAGTGTTCCCATCCAGGACCAAACTGGGGTCCTTTCGCATGTGAGGCAAACGTGATAACCACTACACCATTCTGCCAACTGTGTTAGTTACATTCTGCCAGATGGTTACATTCATGTCTCAGTCCGAATGTTGTGGGTCCTCATCTAACCTAGACACTTGAACACAAACATCTTCGCTGACAAGCCAGTGCAGCGCTGATTGGAGTGCTGCACTGTTAGAGATGCCATTTTTTGAATTAGACATTAAACAGAGCCCTCTCTGGTGAACATATCACTATTCTGAAGAATGGCGGGGGGGTGCTCTCTTTAGTGTCCGAGTCAATATTTATCCCTCAATCAGCATCAAACTGTCTGGTCACAGTGCTATTTGTAGCAGTTTGCATTGAGCAGATCGGACACATTTCCTATCTGACAACTACGCCCACACTTCAAAACTACTTCACCAGCTATAAACATCAGTGGGTTATACTGCGATTATAAACGCAGCATGTAAATGCAAGGTTTCTTCCATTGAGTAATGCATATGTACCTGCCCTGATAACTCATTCCTGTCCTTATCTCATTGTCATTGTGGCTCTTTGCTGCATATTTATTACAGCCTGTTCCTTTCTATACTCTCACAATTCCATCCAATATTGGCAGCACTGTCTCATTGTACTGAGTTATATTAACTACCTGTTCCTCAGTGCCTCAAAATACAATGTAATGATCCAGCAAACATGACTTTGCTGTCTCTGATGCTACAAGAACTGCAGATGCTGGAGTCAGAGATAACATCAGAGGTGCAGGAAGAAGGGTCCCAACCCGAAATGTCAACTTTCCTGCTCTTCTGATGCTGCTTGGCCTGCTGTGTTCATCCAGCTCTACACCTTGTTATCTCAGATTCTTCAGCATCTGCAGTTCCTGCTATCTATTGAGGTGATGATCAATCTACATGTTATACATTACACCCTCCGGCAGCACTGGAGCCCCTTCTCCAGCCTGCTCTTCACTCACCCACCCTCACCATCACTATTACTCTCCCTCTCTCCATTCCTCTCCCTCCCTCCGTCCATCTGTCTCCCCCCTCATTCACTCCCCTCCTTCCCTCACTCCCTTTCCTCCTCCCCTCACCCCCCTTCCCCCTCTCCCCCCCCATCTCTCTCCCCCCCCCCCCCCTCTTTCTCCCCCTCCACCCCCTCCCCTGCCCCCGCTCAGGGACCGACAGGGACGGCTTGTCCCTGGCCCTGAGCCGGAGCTGTACCGGGCCCGCTGGGTGCCCGCTGTGTCCGGCCCCGGGGCCCAGGCGGAGCGGCTGGCCCCGGGGAGATGGCCGGGCCGGACACAGCGGGCACCGAGCGGGTCGCACGGAGACTGTCCCCGGGGCTCGGGCACTCACCCACGGCGGCGATCAGCAGGTACAGCGGCCACATGGTGCACACACTCCCGGCTCAAACACACTAACTTTCCCGGGAACTCCGCCTGGGATCCATCCCGGGCTGATCCCGATCCCCAACTAATCCAGATCCTGGCTCCACCAAACCAACAGGCACCGCGGCTCAACCCCGGGAAGAAACAAATGTGGGAAAGTGGATCGGAGGGAGAGAGAGAGAGAGAGATGGAGAGGGAGAGGGGATAGACAGAGTCAGAGGGGGAGGGAGGAGAGGATAAAGATAGAGAGAGAAATAGAGGGAGAGAGAAGGAGAGGGATGGAGATGGAGGGAAAGAAGGGAGGGAGAGGGATGGAGGGAAAGAAGGGAGGGAGAGGGATGGAGGGAGGGAGAGAGAGAGAGGGTTGGATGGAGGGAGGGAAGGGATAGAGGGAGGGAGGCAGGCAAGGGATTGAGAGTGTGTGGGGTGGAATAGAGAGGGGAATAGGAAGGGAGAGTGAGGAGGCAGATACAGAGTGTGAGAAGGGAAATAATGAGTGAGTGAGGGGGATGCAGAGGGTGAGGGGATAGAGCGGGTGAGGGAATGGGGAAAGTAGAAAAAGAGAGGAGAGAGAGAGAGACTGAGAGAATGTAGATGGGGGAATAGAGAGAGAGTAGGGAGCAGAGCGGGGGGTGAGCACGGTGCCAAGGGTGATAGTGTGGATAGGGGAGATGAAGGATAGAGAGACAGATAGAAAAAGAGTGGAATGAGTAAACAGATTGTAGAACATGAGTGTAGAAGGGGGGTAGAGAGGTGGTGAGAGTGGGGTGTAACTAGAGAGGGGCTTGAGTTAGCATTGATGGGAAAGAATAAGTGGGTGGATAATGGGGAAGGGAGATTGGGTGATGGATAGAGAGAGGTTGAGAGAGAGGGGCGATAGAAGGGTCAGAGCGAGTGATGGAGAGAAAGAGATGAAGGATAGAAAAGATAGAAAAAGTCTGGAAAGAATGTGGAGAGAAAGAGTGTGGATGGGATAGAGAATGTGGGAGTGAAAGAGACAAGAATAAAGAGAGCTCATTTGACTAGAGAGCCAATTTGAGATGCTACAACAGCATGAGTTCAATTGCTGCACTGGCCGAGGTTACCATGAAAGACTGTTCTTCCCAACCTGTCCCCTCACCAGAGGTGTGGTGACACTAAACAACATAACAGGATACAAAATGATGCAGACCAAGGCAGTGGACAAAAATACATCCCTCCCTGATGCGCTCAATACTTTCTATACTCCGTTCGAGCAGAATGCCAGCGGTGCGATGTCACCTGCACCAACAGCCCCAGACTCACCTGTTCCCTCCATCACCTCTGCAGATCTCAGATTGCTCTTCCTGGGAATCAACCCAAGGAAAGTGACGGGTCCAGATGGAGTCCCTGGCCATGCACTTAGATCCTGTGTGGACCAGCTGGCGGAGGTCACCATCATCCCAGTGCCTAAGAAAACACATGCCTTAATGACTACTGCCCAGTAGCTCTGACCTCCATAATCATGAAATACTTCGAGAAGCTGGTCACAGGCCATGTCAACTCTAGCCTCCCAGCCTGCCTTGACCCCCTGCAATTTGCCTACTGATGAAACAGGTTCACAGCGGACACCATTCCCCCAGCTCTACATTCATCCCTAGAACATCTGGATATCAAGGACACCAATGTCAGACTTTTGCTCATCAACTACAGCTCCGCCTTCAACACCAAAATCCCCTCCAGACCAATGACAAAACTCCGAGACCCTTTGCAACTGGATCCTCAGCTTCCTGACTGCGATCAGTGAAGATAAACAACAGCACCTCCTCCATGATAACCTTCAACACTGGCGCCCCACAAGAATGTGTTCTCAGCCCCCTACTGCACTCCCTATACACCACGACTGTGCAGCTGAATTCCAAACAAATGCCGTCTACAAGTTTGCTGATTATAGCACTTTGGTAGCTTGGATATCAAACAATGGTGAGTTATAATACAGGAAGGAGATAGAGGGCTTGGTGCTGTGGTGCATTGAAAATACCCTCTCTCTCAATGTTGGCAGAACTAAAGAACTGATCATTAACTTCAGGAAGAAAGGTGGAAGGCAAGCCCCCATCTATGTCAACGGAGCTGGGGTTGAGCGGGTTGAGAATGGCAACATCCTAGGAGTGACGATAACCGACAATCTGTCCTGGACCACCCATGTAGATGTGACGGTCAAGAATGCACAACAACGCCTCTTCTTCCTCATGTAGCTTAGGAAATTTGGCATGTCCATAAGGACCCTCACTAACTTTTACAGATGCACCACAGAAAGCATTCTATCAGGGTGCATAATGGCCTGGTACAGCAGCTACTCTGCCTAGGACCATAAGAAACTACAGAAAGATGTGTGCACAGCCCAGACAATCACTGAAGCCAACCTCCCATCCATGGATAACAAGGTGTAGGGCTGGATGAACACCGCAGGCCAAGCAGCATCAGAGGAGCAGGAAAGCTGACGTTTCAGGCCTCGACCCTTCTTCAGAAAGAAAGTCAGCTTTCCTGCTCCTCTGATGCTGCTTGGCCTGCTGTGTTCATCTAGCTCTACACCTTGTTATCTCAGATTTTCCAGCATCTGCAGTTCCTACTATCTCTGTCCCATCCATGGACTTGACTTACACTTCTCGTTGCTGCGGAAAGGCTGCCAACATCATCAAGGACCCTTCTCACCTCCATAATGTTCTCTTCCAACCTCTTCCATCAGGCGGAAGATACAAAAGCTTGAACATATGCACCAATAGGTTCAAGAACAGCTTTTCCCCCACTGTTATTAGACTGCTGAATGGTCCTCTTTGATTCCAATCTAATGTTGACCTTGTTTCTGTGCTCCTTCTTTGCTGTTGTATCCTTGTATGCCTTGCTCTGTCTAAGCACCCTATGATCTGTATGTCCTTGTTGCTATGATCTATCTGCCAGCACTGCTCACAGAACAGAACTTTTCACTGTACTTAGGTACATTTGACTACGATAAATCCAATCAAAAAAATCAACATCAGATTAAACACCACCAGTCATCTGTCTTTAATGGTCCTCTGGGACTATGGCGACTTTATCTTTACATTACGACACACTTACTTGTCATCAGACAACAAAACCACAACTCAATTCTACTTAATTTAGTGACCTTGTGTAGACATCTAAGTATCTGGAAATAGTACCAATCCTTTAAACTTAAGGAAAAAAAGAAAGTTAATCTGATATTAGAAATCATGCCAGATCACATACGGCCCCTTGTAGAATTACGTTCTCTGAATTTGAAAAGAAGATAAAGCTGGACATCATCAAAACTTGAAATTTTAAGCACTCTGATACAATTTTATGTAATCAATGATAAAATTATTTTTGATTGTTATCATACCACAGCAGCTGAAATCACTCCTTGTTTTCATGGTCACACATTTGAGGGCTACCAAGATGATAAAACTATCAGAGTCTTTCCAATCACTGACTCCTTGAAATTGATCAGAAAATCAAAAATGTTAAATATTTCTGCAACCACGATATGTCCAGAAAAAAGACACTGTCACACAGTTTACAGCAACCAGAACTTCAATACAATCAACATAAAGTTTTCACAATTTAACAGATTGATCTCAATAATTCCAATGTAATTCAAATTAAAATTTCAAATCCAACAAACTACAGCTTGAAAGAGAAGGGGGGAAGCCATAGCCAGCAACATCAAATATTCACAAGTGTTTTGCAAAAATATGTGAATTATTTCGTCTATTATTGTCATTTGTGTGACTTTCCAAATCACTGAGTAAATGTGAAGAAAAGGTTAACTTTCACAGGGTATAGTCTCAGAATAAAGGGGTGCTAGTTTAAAACTGAGATGAGGAGGAACTTGTTGTGAGTCTTTGGAACTCTTTGCCACAGAGAGCAGTGGGGACATAGTCTTTGTGTATATGTAAGGCTATGGGAGATTCTTGATCAGTCAGGGAATTATGGGGAAAGGGTCGGAAAGTGGACTTGAGGAATATCAGATGGGGCCACGATCCTATTGAATGGTGGAGCAGGCTTGAGGATCTGAGCAGCCTACTCCTGTTCCTATTTCTTATGGTCTTACAGTCAGAGTGAAATAAAACCATCAACATTTTAAAACAAGTTTTCCCACAATTTCTGAACTCTGAACAGCTACCAGCTCTCATAACTTACAATAGATGATTGGGTCTTTGATGACGGAAACTGCATTTGATAGATATGTGATGCTGTGTCAGTAACTGAGAGTTACTCTCAGTAACCACACAGAGGTTCAGCCATCACAGAGTAAGTGCAACATAAGAGAAACGTAGAAAAATTCAGTAAAAGCACAAAGATCCAGTAACCTTAGATTCAACAGACACTAAACATATGCAGACCCAGCAATCATTTTTCTATATTCTTACACAAGCTGGAGGTATCATTGGCTGGGCCAGAATTTATTGTCCATCCCTAATTGCCCTGGAGAAAGGTGGTGGTGAGCTGCCTTCTTGAACCATGGCAGTCCATTTGCTATAGGTATGCCTTGGTGAGTTCCTCAAGTGCAGCTTGTAGATGGTACATACTGCTGCCACTGTATGTTAGGAAATGGGCTGCTGTGTGCTGGATGGTGTCAAGCTTCTTGAATGTTGTTAGAGCTGCACCCATCCAGGAAAGCTGGGAGTGTTCCATTACGGTCCTAACTTGTGCATTATAGATGGTGGACAGGCTTTGGAGGGTCATGATGGGGGTTACTCACTGCAGGATTCCTAGCCTCTGACCTGCTGTTGCAGCCACTGAATTTACACGGTGAGTCCAGTTCAGTCTGTGATGAATGGTAACCCTTGGGACATTGCGGTAATGCCACTGAAATTCAAGGAATGATGGTTAGATTGTCACTTGATGAAGATTGACATTGCCTGGCACTTGTATGGCACAAATGTTACTTGTCACTTTTCAGTCTAAGCCTGGATGTTGTCCAGGTCATGTTGCATTTGGACGTGGTTGCCTCAGTATCCGAGAAGTTGCAAATGGTGCTGAACATTGTGCAATCATATGCGAACATCCCCACTTCTGACCTAATGATGGGGAAGCAAGGACATTGTTGAAGCAACTGAAGATGGTGGGGCCTAAAACAATGATCAGACAGTGATCCACAGTCAGATAGACTGATCCAAGACCCAGAACTCAGAGAGAC